TGCCTCTGAATAAAACATTCTTAAAGTTTACTACCATTTGGTAGAACTCAGTGTTACCAGAAGGCTTTTTATCGAAACAGGCTTTAAGCATGGGAATGGCGCTTTCTCTGATAAAGCCATTTTCAGAGGTCTCTTTTAGGAAAATGGTGAGCATAGTACTATAGAAGTTGATATTATCTTTCAGGCAGGGAGGTTGTTCTTTTTCACAGTATATGAAAGAACTTAAGGAACATGGTGTGAATGTATCGCATTTCTAGTTTACTTCATGGACAGGTGTTAGAATTTTCTTTTAATTCTTTTGGAAAAGAGGAAAAAAACTACTACCAGTTTAAAAATTACTTTTAAGTCTAGTGTTCATAAATAATATGCCATGCATTTTGTGAAACTACTCTCTAAGTTGGTAGTTTAAGAAAAACCTTCCAGCTCCATGGCAATAGGTGTATCGTCTGTCTGCACTCTTATGAACAATAAAGTGGCATCAGCTTTACAAGAAAAATACATGACTGTTCAGATAATGCCTCTGCCCAACTTGGATTTGTGCAATGCACACATCAGTTGCCTGCAGGAGTCCTTACTTAAGAAAATTAAGATGTTTCCATTTTGGGTAGGTTTTGTGTTTTCCTTTTTAACCTCCGCCTGCAAATTTAATAAAAAATGTTCAGACGTTTGACTGTATCCATGAAAAACACCTGTGCTGTGGTTTAAAGTAAGGATTTCAAAATTGTCATTCCTTCTAAGTTTTTTTGGTTAGATTTCTAAAGTGGTGGTGTTGGGAACACAGCTAGAGCTATTTTGTAAATGTCAGTAAAACAGCAAGAACTAAATGAATGCGTACTGTTTGTCCAGTTCATCTTGATGTTACACTGCCTGCCAGAATCAGAAGTATTTATAAAAAGATTTAGAAAAGAAAAATACAAATGACAGCACGTGTGAAAAATCTAAACCATGGGTCTTGTGATAGTGTATAATACTGAAATAGCAGCCTCAACAGTGAACCAAATGTGAACTTGTAGTGTTATGAAAAGGATTAATTACTTGTGCTTTCTGTGGGCAGAGGTGTTGGGGAAATTAGAAGGTGTTAAAGAATAGCAGCAGAAATTATATAGTGGCTTGAAAGAGAATTTAGATTAAATGTCAAGAAAACCATTTCTTTATAGATTATTCTAAGCTATTATACTAAACATGGAGGCTATGCAAGAAAACCTAGGAAGACAGTTACAGTCTAGAGAAGATCAAGTTACTTTATCGGGGAGTCCACGTGTCTTTCTGTGTGTTCCCACTTGCAGCTTTAGAACCCTTTGGCCAATTCATCTCACTGGACAGAGAGAGAGAGAAAATAAATGTTTTATGAAAACACACTGCTGAGAGGGGCTAAAGATTGATTCAAGTGTCCTGAGAAGAAGGCTTCAGTATGAATGCCTCTTTATTGGCATCTACCAGAGAGCGAGGTCTTGCATATCCTACTTAGCAAAAGCTTTGCTTAGAGCACAAGTCATCTTTAAATATCAAGTCCAACAGAGCAGGGGAGAAACATTTACAAAACTCTGAGTTCTCGTTCTCACAGAGCGTATTTCATTTCTGATCCCTGTGACTGTCTGAAAAAGTGGTGGTTTTCTTTTTCACTCACTATGATGAACATTTTACCAGGAAAATGTAAATGGCACCTAAGCATCCCTAAACGTGGGAGTCAGAGTACAGTTTGAAGGTAGGTTTGAGGACTGGAATTTGCATTGCTGAGGCAGGAGGATAGTCACATGTTTTTTCAGTTAAAGCTTTTGCAAAACATCTAGCTGGTTTGTTCTTGGGCTGTATTTTTTTGGTTGGTTGGTTTTACATGCACAGGAAGGAATAGTAAATGGCTTACTTGGAAAAAACACACTTAATCTTAGCATTTCTAAACCAAAGTAGTGTAACCACGGTTTTGGGATGGAAACGAAGAAAAAAGGCAGAGTGCCTACTGCAGAGCATGAGCAGAACTGTGGGTGCTGTCCTCCTGAGGAGCAGCTTGGTTGAGATTTGAGGAGCGATGAAAACAGCATCCTTTGCTTTGCTGTCAGCTTGGACAAGTCACACGTGCTTCCCAGACTGCCGTTTCCCATCTCTAAACCTCCTCCTATGCCTCCTGGCATCTGAAGAACAAGCACATTTTATAAATGAAGTCATGTATTGTAAACCTCCTGATGAATGGAGTGCAGACTTAATGTAGCAACAGCCCTTCCTGTATGTCAAACTTTATTTTTTTATTATATGTGTACATATGTATGTATCCCAGCATTTTACACCTGGTCAGATGTTGCAGAAAGACATCCTCTAAAGAGTTGCTGAATCGTACAATAACATAAGTCTAAATAACTTTATAAATAATCAAGTTGCGCTCCGTAGCAATTCCTAAACCCCATTAGGTAGAACACATAACAGCTTTCTTGGAAAAAAGACACTTGGAAGGTCTGAATATTATCACTGGTTGGCTGTTGTATTAGGTGTGGTATAAATACACTTTTTAAGATTTGCTTTTTCCAGTTGAGTGTTAATATTGTTAAAAGATTAAAAAACCCACAGTAATTCTAACATGATACTGCTATTAAGGACTTCATCTACATTCAGAAACCTACAGTCTCTTAAACAACACAAACGTTAGCTGGGGCATAATTTCATTTCTGGACTTAAAGCTATTGAAGGCACAGGATTAGACAAAACGTGCTGTGCTTGCCCTGTAGCTGTTTTGCGGAGTTGATTTGAAGCATTAACTGACAAATTATTAAACGTGTTGGGTAAACCTTGGGTAAAAAGATCACAAAGCCAGCTAGGGTGTATTCGGTGGAGTTTACCACATGCAGCAGTCAGGTCTGCGTGAAGTCTCAGGCTGTCGCAGGGGAGATGAGAAATGTTTCAAAAGGAGAGCAGCGCTGTGGCACCCGTCAAAGCTAAATGGAGGTTAGCGCTCTTCTCTTCCCTTCCCACAGCATGGAAAATGTCCTGTTGAAGTACTCGCTGTCAGCACTGGCAGCTGGATGGTGCAACAGACAAGGACCCAACACATGCCCTTCTGTGCTCACGTAGAAGCGTCACTTGATTTTATTGATGGAGAGTATGCCATTGTCTCCGTTTGAAAGTGGTTTGTTTTGTCCCTGGAAATGTGGAATCCAGTCACATCACCTACTGGTGTGCTAGGGTGTTGGGTTTTTTAATAGCACGAGGTATCTTGTTTAACTGACAGTGGCATCCAAATCGCTATGCTTTTCCATTTATATACTGTGTATTTGACAGCTTTTTGCATATGGTGCTTTTAAGTTGCCTGTGCCGTTGATTTCCTCTGTAACTTGCATGGGTTCTCACAATAAAAGGCTATGGAAAATAGTACTTTTTTTAAATAAGGAAATAATTATAAAAGTTTAAAAATCAACAGGGAAGATTTAGAACTAGAAGCCATGAAATTCCCCTTTAAAATTATTTTGATAATGAAATTACTAGCATGTGTCCCTTTGGCCTGATTATCTTTAATTGAATTGAATCCTTTAAAGCATGAACGAGGCCTTGTGGATAATTTAGAAAACTATTCCCTTTAAATGCAGTTTCACCTTTGTAAATTATTTTCTGCTTTATCTCTTTTTTTTAATAAATAATATTTGCATGAGTATAAGATGTTTGACAAAGGTTTATCTACCCTGCAGTTTCATCCGTACCTCGGTGATACTGCTCTCTACACGACATCACACTTGTTTCCCCAGTGACCTACTGCTACACGGCAT